TCAAACCAGATGCTACCTTTCACCATGCCTGGACTTCTCAGTTTTCTCTCTCTGTCAGGACCCCAGTCTGAAGAGACCTACTGGAGTCACAGTAATGAAGGTGACTCTCTACCAGAAGACACTTGGGTGTGGGAGATTGGTAGTGAGAGGATACTTCAGTCCTGTAATGAACTGCTGCCTGGTGGTCCCAAGAGCAAGGTTTGATCCCTTCAGTTGACTCTATACTGACCAGGCATCCTCCAGGGGCATTTAGGAGTAGAACTCACACTGTTGGGCGCCTCTGCTCAGAAAGCAATCATTGTGGGACATGGAATTAAACTTCAGCCCTCTAGTCCACCCCCATATTCATATTTATTCAGTGATTTGAAGGAAGGCTTAATGCATGCCCTTTGGGTTCAGAATGATTAATGTGAAGTCTGCTTAGATTGATGGGCAGGTGGATGACTAACCATTTAGATGGTGATTCATAGCTGGCAATTATAATGAATAGCCTCCTAAGATGATCAGATCAAAGTAAGCCACTTTGAGCTTAATAGATTTTGAGAGACAGATGGTGCCTGGGTACAGGGTCAACACAAAAATATTAAACATATTTATCCTTGCCTTGCACCTCATTGTGAGAATAATTTACAGTGCCATCTAACGAAGTAACCTGTTCTATTCCTCTCTGGTTATGGTTTCTCTCAGGGTCAGCTAATTGCTTTCCATTTTAAATGTTAATTCATTGATGATTATCGATATTGACCAGATAATAATAGAATATGAGGCCTGTTTGAGCTAAGAATTCATGTTTTGCAGGATGATTTCAGGCACAGGCCTTACTAGTTATGTATCCCTCCAGGACATGGTTAGAAATGAAGGACAGCCACCTTATTATGGACATAGGATTCATGAATTATAGAATAATTAAGGTTAGAAGGGACATCAGAAGGCCTCTGGTCCAATGTCATGATCAAAGAAAGTCCAGCATAGAAATTTTATCCAGCTTTGAAATTATGTCAGGGCCTTATCCAGCCATTTGGAGTACAGCCAAGGGCAGGAATCTCAAAACAGCTCTGGGCTTCTCTTCTAGAGCTTAAATAACCTCACTATGATTTTTTTCACTATGTTTAATTAGGATTTCCCTTGTTTCCTTCATTCAGTTTGACAGTGGAGACTGCTCTTCTCTGTCTAGCCCTTCAACCACTATCACTTTATAAATTTGGGTAATTCTTACAAACAATCACCTTCATTCACAAGCATCCTGTTGCGATACAGCTGTGTTACTATCTCCTATTATGGCTGGTAAGGTTTCCAAGGATCACAGAACTCTCTGGGGGATCAGCACTGGTGGTTGTTGGAAATGATATGAAGCTCCTAATAACAAGGATAGGTGTTCTCTGGAGGCAGGGATCCTTCCTCCGTTATAATCATTATATTTCCATTGTGTTTTTGTTGAGGTAGCAGGAGTGGAGCCAACCCTATCAGTGAAGTTCTCGTTCCTTTGAAGGTTTATCAGTAGCTGGCCAGAAATACTTTATTTCCTTTTCTGGGGGTTGCTGCAGCATCTGAGATCTGACCTCTTCCCCTCCAGACTCCAACTTGTGTTTTTGTTGAGGTAGCAGGAGTGGAGCCAACCCTATCAGTGAAGTTCTCGTTCCTTTGAAGGTTTATCAGTAGCTGGCCAGAAATACTTTATTTCCTTTTCTGGGGGTTGCTGCAGCATCTGAGATCTGACCTCTTCTCCTCCAGACTCCAACAAACAGCAGCCGTAAGACCAAAGCTAACACCACCGTACAGGAAGATACATCTGGAATATGAAACACTATAAATGGATTATTTCCCTCTCTCTCTGAAATACTTTGTTTTCTCTCAGGAGAAAACCATCATTAGCAAGGACATCTGGCTGAGAAAGTAGATAGCGCACTAGAAAGGGAACTGGAGGGAAGATCGATCTTCCTTTAAAGATACTTTGTCTGGAATCAGTCAAAGAGAGAACAGAAAGAAGACCCTGGAGACAAATATATGAAGAACTCCTAAGTAAGCTGTGAGCCCAGACAGCAACAGTGTGATTACCGTGCTAGTGAGTGTCACTACTGTTGTCTTCCCTTGATGCTCTCCTATGAAAAGCCAAAGGTGACAACTGTCTTCATTGGCTTCGTAACAGTGAGCCTCTTTTGGTACTGAATATTGAAATAATGAATATTTTCCCTGAGTTTCCTATCTTGCAGACAATTATAAGGCTACACTTCATATGCCTAAAGAACTACAACCTTCACCGAGACTTTTTTCAGTTTCAGGTCTGGCTGTGACCTGGGTAGGATAGCGATGCTTTTATCAAACATTCAGTTCTTGAGATCATTGTCAGAAAAAATTAGAGGTACCATGTGAGATGATTCCCACACCAGACATTCTTTTGAAAGACAGGCTGTAATCAAATACATGCTATCAAGTTCAGTTACTGGATTGAATTCATCAGCTGGTACTACAGAGGCTGAAGATGATTAAATAGTTTCTGTGCATCTGTACCCTCATCAAAACTTACATAAGGATGAGATACCATGGAAGCATATCCCTGGTTACACATTATTATCTTGTTATAAGTAAACTGATCTAAGTAGAAAATTTCATCAACTAAAAAAACCTAAAGATATTTTAGTGAACTGCAATAAAAATTGTCCAACGGGAGTTTGGGGGAAATGCAGTTTTAAGCCATTGTATCTATCCTTGTTCCAAAGAACTCCATCTTAAACTCTTCTTTTTTTAAATCCAGTTTTATATGTAAATAAATTCAGTCTTGTGATCTGTGAGTTGATAGAAAATATTTTGAAGAGCATCTTGATTTTTGCACTCACTGAGAAAGAAGTTCACAACTTACATTAATTCTTTTTAAGTGGTGTTCAATGTAAACGCATACATATTTTTCATTATGCCATTTTTCATAGCATTTAAAATTCTCAGAAACCTCTCATCCTCAATTTTCTTAGAAGACCAGAGATGCTCTTTCAGATTAAATGAAATTTGCATATTTTGGCCCTCTAGTGCAAGTTGATTTTCTCTGTGTCCTAAAAATCCAACTTTTTATCCATAAATCTCTAGGCTAATTAATATGACTCAAGTGCCAACGGCCTCTCGTGTCCATTCACGGCATATGCAGTTTGTTCAAAACAGCTTCAGAACTTTTCAGAAGCAATAAAACATAAAAAACTGTCAACTTTGTATCTAAACTGTTTCTTCTCCTTAGGTTCACTGGAATAACTTGTGTATAATGTGTTGGCCAGGAAAGACATTCATATTCAAAATCTGAAGGATGATATCTCTAGTAAAAGGGCTCAAATGATACACACTCTCTCTCAACTAAACCCATCAGATTAATTCTCACTGCAGCCAACAAAGCTAGTCCAAGGTCTGTATGAAATGTAATCTCAGGCCAAATGTCTACTCTAAAGCATAAGGAAATAATCTGAAATTCTTTTGCATAGAATAATAATTTAAGAGCTTTACTTCTCCCTTTCAATGATCCCACTGCTGAACTGTCAGACCAAATCACTGCAAAATCAGGACCAAGACCTTTTATGGTGATATTTTGTATTACCAAGGTGCCATCTTCAGTTAGAGTGCTGGAGGCACTGCCTTCTCCACTAGAACATCAGACCTATTCGAGCAGCACAGTTGTGTGACCCCCGTGATCCAGGGTAAAAGAGCTCATAGGAAGAGAAACACTCTTAAGTCATAAGGACATGTTTGTTTAAATCAAGGGAGGCTACAAGACATTACAGAGAAAAAACTCTTCTCTGTTTCATGTGGCAAACTTCACAGATATAGCAGTGACAAAAAGACAGAAACCTTGATAACTTTCATTTGTGATCCATATACTCAATATATAGCAAGGGTTTGAGGTAACTATAGTCCCACAGTTAAGGTGCCTGTACTTACTGGGGAAGACTTCACCTCCCTACTTATTGAGAGGCAAATGGAATGGTCAAAATTTATAGAAGGAAAGTTGGAAAGAGAACTGAGAACACTCTGCTGCCAGCATACAGAAGTGGCATTTCCCTATCCTGAGAAAGCAGTGTGGCTTCTTGGTAACACCACCTTACAATTAATGAGGAAGAGGAGAAATGAAGAAAAGCAAAAAAAAAAAATAAAAAATTAAAAAAATAGGGGTGCTTCATTGACTGAAGTATAGAAAATGTTGCAGAGGAGCTGGGTGAGAAGACATATCCATTTTTTCTCATGGTGCCACTCAAAGAGCACACAATAAAATTAGGAAGCAGCACGTACAAAACATAAATCAATACAGCAGGAGTAATTAAGGCATGGAATTAATTTCTGCAGAGACCCAAATTTTAACTGGACAAAGATGACACACTTAAATGCAGGTAAATGAGCTAGCAGTGCAAGTAGGAGAAAAAGATATAAATCTCTACACATTTTGGGGTGTAAGTCAAACACTGAAGGATATTAATGAAATACTTCTTGCTCGAGTAGCAGTACCTGAAATTTATTCTGAGGAACACCACCAACCCCGTCCCCAGCCCTCTTTTCTGTACACAACAGGTATTGATCACTCAGAGATAGACATCCACACAGAAAAAATCACTGACTCAATCAGCAAGGCAATCCCATTATAAAAATGGGCCATCTACAGCATACCCTTAACAGGAGCCCAGCTCAGAAGTAATGCTAATGTATGTCCAGAAATCATATTTGTAATTAATGAGAAACTTCAAAGAAGTCTTAAACTAAAGAACAAACATTTTACAATCTGAGGAGACTTCTTTTCCTCTGCCCTGACCTCCCAGGGAATCACCTGAATTTGATAAATCTTTGTGAACAAAGGACACCTGAAAATGAGGGCTGGGAAACTCAGAGGCACATTAACAAAAACTTCTGCAAAAGCAACAGACTGATGGGACTGTGATCCCGTGTAAAAATATCTTTGCTCTCTGTAACCAGGCATCCAAGTAGGTTCCACCACCCAAGAATTAATTACACAAACAGCAAGGGACGCTACTTACCTCACCATTCAAGAAGCAGTAAAATACTGACACAAAGAAACCCTGGAAAGAATAAAAAGCAGTCAATTATTAGGTAAGCATTTTACCCTGCAGTATTGGGGATGGAAATTTATCCTGGGATCATCCTGAGCACAAACACAATCTTGTTGAGATCACCCACGTCTAGACAGATAAGATCTTTACCCTACAACTTGATGAGAGAAGACCCAGTGTTTGCAGCTCACAGGTGAGATCAGAGAGCGTGAATAGAGGGGATTCTCACTTCAGCTGTGCTGAAGCTATCTAGAGCTTCCAGCTGCCTCCCCAGAATGGCACAGACCCCTCACAGGAGCTAGGTCGTGCCTACCAGCTCTTTGTGGATGTCTCAGACACTTACAGGGACGTCAAATGGCCTTAGATGGTCTTGTGTGGGCAAGTGTGTCATCAGGTTGCTCACATTCATCGGAGCTGAATTGCTCTGTGGAATCTACTGACAGCAGTGACTAGACCCCTGTAATGACTGCAAAGACTGTAATGACTATAATGGAAGCTCAGATGACAACACGATGACACTCTCATCTCTAAACCTGTGAGTGAAATCCTACCCATTTTGCTTTCAGCAATGGACTGTAATTATTGCCACCATAAAGGAGAGATTCCCTGTGCTTGCTTTCTTACACATGCCTCCATCATGCTAGCAATAAAACAAGCAGAGTAACATTTTTTTGAGACATAGAGCATCAGCAGATAAAAAAATACAACTAATTTTAGGGAATGAATAATGTGGATTGTTTCACTGGTAAAAGTTAAAGTTCTTTTGTTCATAGATTTAAAAGGACATTTTTCATTTTGGATATTCAGTTGTGATTTCTGGTGGGATGCTCTGTGTTTCAAAGCTAAATATGCCATCAGTAAAAACAATAATCCAAAGATCAAAACTTTTTTAAACCATAACCCTAGATTTGGCTTGACAGGATGCGTGTTGTATATTTGTATTGACGTGCTGGGTATCAGAGTACTTGTTCCTGGAGATATCAGAGGTAAAACATCAATGTCAAACATATTTTCACTCCAGTTCAAGAAGGTCTTTAAAGCAGAGATAAAGCTGTAGCACAAATCTAAGCAGAAATGTGTGGCTAAAATCCATTCAAGGTCTTCAGTCACTTTTGGTTTTGTGCCAAGTCCAGAAAGCTGGGGTAATTACTGGCATTTCCACTACCTTCTACATCCTGGCAGAACTACTAAATTCAGGGGAGGGAGGAGACAAGTCCAGAAAGCTGGGGTAATTACTGGCATCCCCACTGCCTTTTACATCCTGGCAGAACTCCTATTAAATTCAGGGGAGGGAGGAGGTAGGGTAGGAGTTCTCAGCTGGTATGGTCTGATGGCTGAGCGCACACACCATTGCAGAAGAGCTGGAGTGAGAGGCTGGGCAATACAGCTAATGTCTTTATCACACGAGCCCAACAGGTAGGAGATGTTTCCCTTTGTTTTAGCAACATCTAGTCTTAAGTCTCAGCTCACTGTCTGCTCTGTGAAGACAGAGGTGCCTTGGGAGGGTGATTCATCATCCTCTCTCAGGCTAGAATGAAACATCATCTCTCTCTCCATTGACTTTAGATGGAGCCCCAGCGAGGAGCTGCAGCTATAGATTGAACACAGTGATGATGTTAAGGGGGACAAATCCCTCCAGTACACACCTGAGAGGAGATCTCCACTCCATACGACAAGCTTATATATCTGTTACATAAACATGAACAAAGCTGAGCTACTTTCAACTAATATTTCTGTCAGGGACTTCATTGCCCTAAGTTTCATGGCTGAAAAGTATTAGGAATCCTTTCAACAGTACCCGATACCAGCTGCAAACTGGCTGTCTTACCTGAAAAGACTGCAGGAAGGAATTGAAATAGATGAAGACGATCTGGGAAATGTCATCCTCACCAGGGTTGACAAAGAAAAGCATGTAGGTGATGCCTAGCAGAGGCAGAAGAACTAACGTGGCCTTGACTGCCTTCCTGTGGGCAGGAAACAGAAAACCCAAGTGAACACAAGAAAGAACAACTGTGTTATCTGAACTGCTGCAGATTGCCACTCCTGAGACATGCTGCTAGAGCACTTGCTGAGGATAGCAGTGGAAGTCTGTATTTGCACAGTAATAATTTGAGCTTTTTCCCAGGAGGACATCCAAGTTTTAGACACTTCTCAGCCTGCCTGCACAGGAACAGGCCCAAGGTTTGTGACCAGCGAACCATGTAACCCTCGGTGGAGGCTCCTGAAGTCCTCAGGCAATGAAGAACTTGGGTTTCTTAAGGCTCAGGAAAGGATATTTCAGAGGGAACCTGACTGCAGGTTTGTAAGGCTGGATAGGGTTTGGCAGGGGAGTGGGGCAGGAGTGACAGCCTCCACTTTGGGTTGGGAAGCCACAGGTGAGTTTGCTCGTTAACACTTTCTGACCAGTGCCTGACCACCTGGAGAAACATGTTCTGGGAAAGCCTTTGAATCTGGTTATTTGTCCCCACACCCTGGGCTCCAGGGCACAAATGGGAACCATTTTTATACCCCTCCCTTTCTCTCTCCAGACAGTTTCTGTCTTATCAATGAGGCTTGCCTTAGGGTGAAGTCTTGAGACTCTCTGCAGGTTTGGTGAGTGATTTCTTATACCTCAGGGTGATGTGATAAATGCACAATTTAGCTGCTGACCAGGGCAGGAACCCTGTGCCCATGAGACCTGTTCTATGCCCATCTTTTGATTCTGTCAGGACTCGAAATGCTTTCTCTCTCTCTGCAACACCTGCACACCCAACTCGGTTGTGAAGGACTCTCTTATAAATAATAAACAAGCAGGTGGTGCACAGTGAAGCGTAAGCAATTATTAACAGAATTACTAGGGGCTAATCTTTGTTATTGGTGCTACAACAGTGTCTTGGGATGTCAGCTGCAGAACAGCACCTTGTTGTGCTAGATACTGTACAAACACAGAAGGCTGCAATTTTGCTAAGTCTGTATAAATCTCTGTATAATTCCATAAGAGACAGACAAAGGCAGGCAGGTACGCAGGCAGGAGAGCACGAAAACATTGCCAGTGTCAGGACAGAGTGACATTCTTAACAAAGTAGCTGCCACATCATTTAATACTTGCTTAACAAACGTTTGGAGTGCTCAGCTTTAGAGCAGCAAGGTTTGCCCCAGGCTTTCCCGGAATGATACAGCTTTCTGTTTAGGCTGTGAAAAAGAAGATTCCCTCACAGAGCTTGTAACGAGGATAAAATCACTGTCATCTGTTCAAGGATGAAGGGCAGTTACTTTAGATTGCCTCAGAATCTAATAACTCTAATGCTCCCTGCAAACTATGGAAGGGATAAAAATGTACTGAGATTTGAATCAGTTTTTTTTTTTTATGCTACTTTTAGTTTTATGGCATGAGGTTTCAGCATGAAAAAAGGGGTGTTTTTCCCCTTCATTTCTCAGGAAATGTGCAGAGCAGAGTCTGAACAAGAAAATTGGACTACTGCATTAACTTCACATTTGTCCCCAAACCTCAGACAGGAGTAAAAGGAAGGAATCAGGCAAAACAACAAATCCCTGTTATTGCAGCAAAACTGCCTCCAAAGTCAAGAGGAGGCTGATTTGAGGACATTGAGGTTCAAGCCCCAGCTTGATACACTGAGATTTTATCTAGAAACGATTTAGAGGAGTGCGACCAACCTTACTCCACAAAAACTGTGTTGTTTCCCAGTGTGAGGACCTGTTTGTCCATAAATGCTCCCAACACCTTACAAGATACTGTGATCTGTGATGCCACCCAGTGAGGGGGCACACAAATGCTGGTACCAGCTAAAGGGCTTCATTCCCACACCCTGCACTTTAAAAAGAACATTAAACCTTACTGGAAATACCTGCCCTGTGCACAGTAATCATTATTAATGATACTGCTGTTGATTACAGATGTGATATGAATTTTTTGGCCCAGGCTCTTTTCTTCTTTTACTTCTGACTCTGGTAGGATATTAGTGTGAACAAGGATCTTAATATGCATATGCACATGACTTACCTGTACTGTATCGTTTCTGAAGTGGTTGAAGCTCTCAGCTTTGTCATTAAAATCCTAACTATGTTAAACAGAAATACAAAATTTATCTGGAAAAGAAGGAAGAAAGAGGGAAAAAATAGCACCAGTCAGTCAAACAGTAGCTTAAAGGATGTGATTGCATCTTAAAAGACTCATCCTGCAGTTTCAATCTGATTGAGCACAGCCTTTTGGTTTTACCATTGATTGCAACAAACTCAGAAGTTTACTAGAAATACCAGATTGTGCTGCAAACATCCAACAGCTATTAATGTTTTCAAAGCAGCAATGAAAATGGAGTTAAAAATTAATGGTCCCAGCGCGGAACTTATTTTTAC